TACTATACAATTTACTGCCTTTGAAAATCTGCTGGAGGGTCAGCTATGAGACATTTTTGACAATACATAACAGCAATGATACTAGACATTAAGTGTGCTGGGACGTACAGAGGACTCAAAATGAATGAAACAATCCTCCCAACAACTAACTCTTTTCTGGAAGGAAGACATGAGAAACATCACACACTTTCTTTGTAAAAAAAAAAGTAATAATGCAAAGCTTTCTTTCAAGATTTACATTCTCAAATATCTTACTGAGCAACTTTGTCCTATAAGGGTGTTATGAGTAGGAATTGGCTCAACAACAGTGAATCTGGGATCAGATCTACTGTTAACCTTGGGCACGTTCAACTTTTTTTTTTTTTTAACTTTTAATGAAGGTTTACAGAGACTTTGGATTTCCATTCATTAATTATTGCATTTTTCTCCCTGCTCACCCCCCCCCCCCTTCGCTCTTCATCCAGCACCAATATTAGGAAAAAAACATCAATCTTCTATGATTTAGATTTCTTTTCAAATCAAAACAGTTGGAAAGCATAACCAATTTTCATTAATTAATTTTTTTATACCCCTTAGGCTTCTTTCTCCTCATCCAAGTTCATCACAGCCACGCTGAACCTCTAGATTGCTATTAATAGCTTTCAGACTACTAAGTGCACAAGGGACTGGCTGAAATAAGCAAGACTTAACCTAGAAGTACGTAATTTAGGCTGGAAATGAGAAAACTAAGAAATCTTTTAGGATGAGGATGTCCTAGGTAGTTAAGTACAGTTATGAGCGTAGCTGCTTACCAAAAGGTCGGGGGATTGGGGCCTCTCAGAGGTGCCCAGGAAGCAAGATCTGACAATCTACTTCCGAGAACAGTGTGGAGTACAGCTCTGCTCTGACATGCATTAGGTTACTGTCAGTGGAATCAACACCAAAGCAACTTGTTGTTGTTGTTGTTTGTACCACAGAGTTGGAATTAACCCATAGCTGACCCTCCGGTAGGTTTTCAGAGGCAGTTGACTGCACAGGAGGAGATTGCCCATCCTTCTCCCATGGAGCGGCTGGGGCCTTGAACCGCATGCCTTCAGGACTGCAGTGCAGCTTCTTGCCACTAGGCCACCAGAGTTCCCCATAGCAACTTGTATCATTTTAAAATTTTAGAATAAGAAGCAATCTCAAACTAAAACCTTGTAGCTCAAGTATACTCAAACAGTACTTTGAGTTGACCGTACTGCTTAGTCCTTCCTTAACATACAGCCTCCTTAACACATAGTACATTTTCTTGTTTTTAACATTTATTCCTCTCTTCCTATGTGAAAAGTTTTCCTTTTGGTAAACTCAATGATAAACTTTCTTTCAGGCCACTTCCTCTCCCCTCCATGGAGTCAATAATCTTTCTTTCCTTTTAATTCCTAAACAAAACAAAAAGAATACAGTACAAATAATCCACTTTCTTAACTTCTTTGTCATGACTCTTGTGAGAATAAAAGATATCCCACTGTCATTAAGTGGGTACTGACTCATTTCCAAGATAGTAAATCTTTACAGGAAGAGACTGAGCAACTTTCTCCCAAGAAATATTTGGTGGATTTGAACCACTGACCTTTTGACAACAAAAACTTCAAACCAATACTAATGAAGGAAGAATACATATAAAGGTGTTAAAATTGCACACCTTTTTAAAAAATTATACCTTATTTCTTTTGCAAACAAAGCAAACCACTGATTGCAGATATTTTGGGTTGAAGATAAATCTGTATTTTAAAATTATTTTAGAAGAAGAATATTAAAGTACACTTTCTTGCTCTGGGAAACTTCTGAAGAAATCTGAGCAAAAGTATATATATTGTCATCAATTAATATATATGTGTAGTTGTAGCAGATACTCCAACCAGTGATTTAACATTATATAAATGTCAGAGTAACTTATTTCACTGATAGATAAGCTCTGAAGATTTTCTTTCTTCTCTGAAGGAAAGTTTCACTGTCATTAAACAGTGCCAATTTGACCAAATGATTGTCAATGTTAGTGTTAATAATAACAGAGAAGCAGCTGAGGGAAAGTTTAAGGTTTTACTTTCTCCCTTTTAGACTCTCTAATTGATGCTTTCACTCCAATTTGAATATCTTCTTCAGAGAAAGGCCACAATTAGAGGAGTTAAAGGGTTTCATGTGGCAAGAGTAAAGTGGCACTATCACATCCCATCAAGGCTCTTGGGACCACTCTCAGAGAAACTCACTGCATTTTCTTGTACCAACTCTGAAAGGCCCCAAGAAAGGAATTTCAGGCAGTCACTACTATTTGTCATAACTGAAAACAACAACAAAAAAATCTATTATATCACAAAAAATATCCCGTTATCCAGTGTTCCATAATTACAAAGGAGACCAGAAACATACAAACTTTTCAAAGCAAACAAGTGAAGGGAACATCTGAAAGCAATTTCCCCCCTTTCTTTGTTGATCTGCTACTCACGGCAAATCTTCCAAACTGGAGGCTTCATGTCTTGGATCCAACAGATCATAACCACATTCATTGTAGATTTCCAAATAGGAAATGTGTGTTGTATATATTTTGCTGCTGTCCTGATTGGAAAAGAGAAAGCCATTACTTAATGACTATAAATAACAACAATTCCACATAGAGGAAGATGCCACATTTATCACTGTAGCTTCCTTATTGTTTCTTTCCTTTTCTCTATGACTTTGCATGATTTATATTTTCTGTCCATGTCACTTTCATGTTACCATCTGCATAAATCTTTTTCCCCCAAAATGGCCAACACCCATAATTACAAGCAACTTCAGCCTCTTAGTTTTTATTGTTTCCATGTTATACATGAAAAGTGAATATATACTTACAATAAGTCAAACTGGTTCAGAACAATAGAACATACTCTTTTCTACTTTCAAGATAAAAAAGAGCTACCTTAAAAGAAATAAACTTACATTCTGTGGACAGTCTATTCATAAAAGAAAACAGAGTGTTACTCTATTTTAAAAACTCCAGTAGCAAAATAGTTTCTATCTTTAAAATAATTTTTAACATTGTAATATTAAAAAAGTTTTAGTAACTTTAAAAATAATAATAAAAATTAGTTCCAAGATACAGAAAGAAAAGACCAGATAGGTAACAGCAAAAATGGACATTAACTCTTCACTGCCAACTGGATTAATTTTTTAAAAACAAGTGGGCAAATTAGAGATATCTGACTTTAAGTCTGAGTTGTTTTCTGTGGGTCACTGTTGAAATGCAGTGATGTAGGCATTAATGTAATGGAGCGCTAAAAGTAAAAATGATTGCTTCTAGCCTTAGTTTTTCCATTAGAAAAAAGGGTCCCTTCTCTTGCTCTCAGATGGAATAAATTATGGAATTTTTTTTTTCAGCTCTTAAGAAAGGTCACAGTTGAGTTTCTAGTACCAAATATGGGGTAGAGGGTAGTGGGGAGAATAAAATTCCTTCCCATTTCTTCTAAAACACAAAGGTAACCATTTCTGTAAATGTAATTTTGATTCACACAAGAGACACTACATTTTTGCTTATGGCAAGAAGGCTGGCAAGCTGTCAGAGTGGTCACTAACACAAAAGATATACTTAGGAGGACCTTCCTGAATGATTTCTACTAGGACCAAAGAAAACCAATCAATAGGTGCTATTAAAATGTAGAGGGAACCAAATCCTAGAAAACTGTTGTTCTTAGGTACCACTGAGTTGAACTCCAGCTCACAGTGACCCTATGAACAACAGAACAAAAACCTGCCAGATCCTGTGCTGTCCTCACAATCTCTGCTGTGCTTCAGCAATTTGTTACAGTAACTGTCACTCAACTTAGACGACAATCTTCCTCTCCATCATGTATCCTCTACTTTTATAAGCATGCATTTCTTTCCCAATGACTGGCCTCTTCTTATAACACATCCAAAGTATGTGAGATGAAGAACAGTGACCTGCAAATCAACAGCTGTATCTCTAATCCAACTGGCTGGAAGCCTACCATGCCATGCCTCAGTTTTTGGAAGACTTGAAGCATTTGCTGATTAAACTCCAGGTTGACAGTCTTGAGTGAGGATTCTATCTCAACATAAAAAAAAAAAATCCCAGCCCACCAAAAAACCAACCCAAACCAAAAACACAACAATCCTTCAAATAGGAACAATGGACAACATTATGAGAAAAAAACCTGAAGATATTTTGGAGGGTTTCATTTTACATGGATGTACAATCAACACCTATGAAACAACCGTGGAGAAATAATGCATTGGAAAAACAGCTACTGAGAGCCTCTTAAAAGTGTTACTGTGCAAAGATGTCACTTTTGAGAACTAAGATGTGCCTGACCCAAGATATATTTTCAACCATCTCATCTTTATGTGAAAGCTGGACAGTGAATAAAAAGGGCCAAAGGAGAATTGATGTCTTTGAATTGCGATGTTATGTGAGCAACACTGAATATATCATGAATTATGTAATGAACAAATTAATCTAGCTTGAACAAGTGAAAGTAGAACATTTCTTAGAAATGAGGTTGAAAAAACATCATCTCACACACTTTAGGCATAGTATCAACAGGGGCCAGTCCCTGGAGAAAGACATCTTGCTTGACAAAACGAAAGGTCAACGAAAAAGAGAAAGACCCTGAAAGAGACTGATTGACCTAGCACTCACAGTCATGGGTTCAGGTACCATGGAGTCTTGAGGCTGATACAGGATCCATCAGCATTTTATTCTGTTGTGTAGAGTTATTATGAGTCAGAATTGACTAAACACTACCTCCCAAACAGCAACAAATTGATAAAGATGTATAATGAATCTTCTTAATTATAAATGAATGTAATTAAGATTAACTCATACCAATAATGCCAATATTAATGAGTACCATTATTTAGTCTTTACTAGAGTCTTTAAATATGCTACCATACATTCTAGGTGACAAGGCAAACATCAACAAATTCAAAAACATAGAAATTATACAAAGTATCTCCTCAGATCACAACACCACAAAATTAGAAATAACAAGAGGATAAAGGGGGAAGAACCATACATCTGGAAGCTGAACAACACCTTGCTTGAACATGACTGGACACAACAAGAAATAAAAAATGAAATTAAAAAGTTTCTTGAAACAAATGACAATGAAACACTACTTACCAAAACCTCTGGGAAACAGCCAAAACAAAATTAGAGGTCAATTTATAGCAATAAGCAAACACATCAAAAGGCAGGAAAAATTGACCATTGACTCTCTTAACCCAACATCTCCAACACATTTAAAAAGAACAGCAATAAAACC